TTGATCTAAGAAATTCTTTCCAATCTATGTTACCGTATCGTATGCTACCGTATCCCTCAAATGTGAGCATAACAGGGGACTCAGTGGCCCAATGTTCACCAGGCCACTCTACAAAATCATGTCATCTTGTTTAAACCCACAATACGAGTTTCTCAAAGCCCCAAACGCTCTCTAACCCCTGTTCCTTCAGGTTCATGAACGGCATGCAACTGCAAAGTCATATCTCGGAGCACACTCAGGCACTTACTGGCAGGCATTTACCGCCACCGTCTCCATCCACACCAAAACTCCTACCACATTCAAGGGCTGGGTAAGTTGGAAAGACAGATTAGGTTCAAAAAGTATCGAGTATCTCAACATGAGTCATTTCAGTCCGTTTTCATCACCTTTTCCGCCGCTGTTCCCCTTTTTCAATCCAGCAGCGCAAAACGGAGCGCCGGCTCCGTTCAACCTCGCACAACTGCTTGGGACTCAGCTTGATCAAAGGCGGGACGAGGAGTCTGGCACAGAGTCCAAGGAAGAGCAAAGGTAGAAGTTTCGACCATTTCATGCTGTTGAAGCCGCTTGACCAAGGAAGGACCAGGAAAGACAGGAAAATGAACAGACTTTGCGAAAAACATTGCATGCCATAAAAATAGTTTCTACCTAGCAGGACGGGTCCCCGTTAGAAATTCACGAACGGGACGTCGTGTGTAGGGTTTTAGAAAGAGATCGTTCTTCAGGGTTGCTAATTGATCGAAGTTGAAGTGTCCCATAGGCACAGTCAATGTTATTGGAGGTGGTGTAAAGGGTGGATTGTATGGGTCTTTTCTGTAAGATGAATATTCCACCACCGTCAGGGTTGACCCTACCCACAACATTCTACTGTCTAGATCAAAATGCTACCCTACCGTCTGTCTTTACTGCACTGGACATAGTCCTCTATCAACGCATGACAAAGAAGCGGATAGGTGGTGAATAGGTGGGACGTTCAGTTCTCCTCATAGTTCAGCTCACCAGAGCAGCGCAATCATTGAAGCCTAAGATGCTTAGGTTTAGGCTTAGATTTAAGCTTATGCGTTTACATATGACTG